GCCAGCTCTGAATTCCTTCTCTGGAATCAATTACAGGAGCAACCTTCCTCCTTCGGCCTGACTGCCAGTTCACACCAAACAATCGCTCTCTATTTGCTGATCCATGCAACCAGTTTCTCACTGTTACGGGTTTCACTGTGACCTTATGCAGTCAGTGACAGCACCCTGCATTAGGAGGATGTGCCCAGATTGCCTTTCAGTGCACTGTTCTTGGGAACCTGGAGAATGGGTAAGTCCCAGCAGTGCTGACTGCCCCTGGCCAAGCTCACCGTATCTCCCCAATGTCCCTAACCCCCTGCAGCACCCTTTCCTTGCTAAGGCGCCTGTGCTCCCACATTAGGTTATCAGATCTTACATGTCCCAAGGGGGATCACAGACCCTGTCCTCCTTCTTACCACCCCCTACACTTGCTCCAGGCCCTCCTTGCCTGCAGCTGCCAGCAGCTTCACTCCTGTGCAAAACAAACCAAGTCCTAAATGGTAACACAGGAGTCTCCTGTGGCCATAGGGGTGGAAGAAGAATAAGGAAGGAGCAGACATAGCAGCTTGGTATGGCTCTGGGTGTGAAGAAGAAACCAAATCCAGAAGGCAGCATTGACCGTGATGGCTGGGACACAGGATACAGGCTTGCTTCTCCTTGTGGTGGGGTTTCCATAGACATAATTCATAGAATCTTTGTCGCAGGTCAGAAGGGACCTCAAGGATCATCTGATCCAACCTTTCTTGGTAAAACATGACCTATACTAGATGTCCCAGCATCCTGTCCAGCCAGACCTTGAAACTGTCCAGTGCTGGGGAGGCCACCACTTCCCTGAGGAGATGATTCCAGTGGTCAACTGATGGTCCAATTGACGTTGATTACGTTCCCCATCTCGCTTCCAAGCTCTAGCTCTCCAAAGACACAACAAAGTGTGAGCCAAAGGAGGCTAAAGACCTTGCCCATATCTCTTCACAGCTAAATTGGTATAAACAGAGGCACTTTGGGGGTTCATAACTGAAGACCAGCTTTATGCAGCAGCTGGTGGATCCATTGAGGTTGCCTTGGCTGTGGTGCTACAGGTTTTGGTGACTTTTTTAACTTTCTGTGCGTGCTTTGCCCAGAACAGCACCGTTCATTCCATCTCTTGAGGAAGTGAATCCCAGCAGGTCTCTGGCAAAGGGCAAGAGTTGGGTACAGGGGGTGCAGTGAACACAGGAGACAGGTTCATTTTCCTGCTACTCTGCACAAAATTACATTTAAACCACGCATTGATAAGATGCAATTTGGTGGAGTCTTGACCTCACCACTTGTTGGAGATGCCCTTTCCTCACTGATAAGGTTCTCAGAGAGATAAAATGAAATAATCAAGCAGTGAAAAAAAACAAGAAGGCAGGAGCTCAACTGACTTCTGAGCAAGTACCAGGAAGGGAGCTGGGGGCAAAATGAGGAAACCCACCCACAGGAGAGATCTAGGGAGAATGATGATGTGGTTCACATCCTTCACCCCTAGCTCACTTAGAAACTAAAGGTGTGGTTGCTCATTGTTGATGCCAAGTTGGAAATGAGCCTTCAGCAGTATATAGCATCTTGTAACAGGAAACACAGCAAGAGGTGTTAAATATTAGCGATAGCCCTAATGAAAGGACCTTGTGTTTCAAGAGCTTGAATAAAGGAATTGAAGGCTCTCACTGTTGATCTAAGGGACGTGTGTTTCTTTCCCTCTAACCTTGCCCAAATGCTGGCAGGGGCAGTGCAGACCCAGGGAGTTGGGGAATTCCCTGGGAAGAACTCTGAATACACGATAACACAGATATTGTTGCAGGTCCCCACCTCTTTGTGCTGGATCTATGGGAAACAAAGACCTGTTATGGAGCCTCGACACAGTGCTGCTTGTTCACATGGGGTTGGTGGCTGAACAGTTTTCCTTGTCATTATAACTATTCAACACCCAGTGAAAAATCCTGTCTTGTATTTGGCTAAACATGATGTACAGACCAAAATCCCAAAGGATTTTTGGAGATATGACAGCCAATGCTAATGCATTGGTCAGGATCTCGTCACAAGCGCTTGGGATTTAGAGTTGTTGCTGTTGGGAATACAATGAAATTATATCAAATCATATCAGAATGGTTTGGGTTGGAAGGGACTTTAAGGATCAACAGATTAAACCCTCTTGGAGGCAGCTATGGATGACTGCCTTGGGAAATCTGGACTTTCCTTTGGCATTTGTTGAGGATATCGGCTGGGCATCAGCTCCCAAGGCAGATATGCTGCCTTTGATTGGTTTAAGTTTTACAGTTCCTCCATTCCCATGGTCTTACGCATGCAATTGGGTATTTCTGACCAGCATGACTGGAGGTTATGGAACAACAGGCTTGCTTGTCAAGAGGAGAATCATGATAAATTCCAGCCAAGCCACCAAAAACTTAATGTTACCGTACAATAATTCTGATTCCCAGCATTTGAACAAAAAGGCTTTGTCATGATGGGGGTTCACCCCAATACATTTGGTAAAGCAGCACTAAGGCAACACAAAGCTAATTTATTTCCTTGTTTGTGGCGGAGAGACACGTGCTTGTTCCCAGCACAAACTGGGGGAAGAGGAAGAAGATTGTGTGTTTTATTGTGTTAAATAAAAACATTTACTTCCTTTTTATCATGCCACACCTGATGCTGGAAAACAGGTGCAGTGCAACCACCTCTCTCTAATCACTTCTCCTAAGTCATCAGAGCACATGAGATGACGAGTATCAAGGTAAGAAACCCAAATATGGTGAATGGCTTTGTGTAACACCATTTGTTTCCTTGGTTATTCAGCAAACAATACAAAATCAATGCATGAGCCCCCATCTTTACATCTCTGGCCTACACCTTGCCTGTAGGTGCAGACGGTTTATTGATTTAATTGTGCTCTGCCAGTAATCCTTTGCATGTTGTCAACAGAAACCACCGTTCATGGTCCTCTGTCATCTGAAGCCAAGAGGCTCCTGTAATTTTCTCATCTTGTTCTATTTATAACATAAATTATAGATTTGTCCATAGCTCTGAAGCTGCAAAATAGTTTCTATTTTAACCCCTGATTTCCCAATCACCACAATGCTCTCAAGTGCTTTCCTCAGGGGCTGAGACATCCTGGTCTTGATTTACCTGCCATATAGCAGCAGTTCATGCTTAGCATGCAACGTCCCAGCAGCCCACAGCCCTCGTGGGTGACTTTTCCAACTGGACAAAGCCTGCCTTGATTTACCCAGTCCTGGTCTGTTTGGTGTGTGCATGGACCACAGCCGATGGGGAACTCCATGTCCTTCCTCTGGGCTGAGATGTCCTGTGTCACCATCATGGGGAGGGTCTAACGCAGGCCTACAGTTGCAGAGGTGACAAGTCAAGAAGGAACTTTCTGGCTTTACTTGTACCAAGAGTTTATGGCCAGTATTAAAAAACCCAAACAGATCTGCTTGGAGAGGTCAAGTAGTTTTTCAAGTATTAAAGTATTAAAGCATGAGAGAAGTCCCATGTTGTGGGACTTCACCACATCCTTAACATTAAGTCTCTGCTGGGTGGTGGTGGACCTCAGTGGGCACTTAAACGTGTTTATTGAATAAGGGCTTATCATCGAATCCTAGAATGGTTTGGGTTGGAAAGGACTTTAAAGCTCATCCAGTTCCAACCCCCTGCCACGGGCAGGGACACCTTCCATTAGACCAGGCTGTTTGGCTGCCATAAGGTATGTGCAGGGAGGACAGCATGACTTCATTCTGCTTACAGATGCTGGCACAGGCTGGGAAACCACAGGAGGTTGGGAATACCCCTCTGTGCCCGAGTGGAGTGAACAGGGGCTGTTCAGCTCAGGAGCAGAGGGTACCGGTGGGCTTGCAGGGTCAGAGGGCTGTAGGGTGAAGGGGAGCCTGTGTTCAGACCCAAGGAACAGCCTCCAAGGAGCTTTAACCAGGAGTTTGGGGAGCTGCTTGAATGAAACAACATCTGTCACCTGGAGCCGGAGCAAAAGCTGCTATTTATGGTGACTCCTGAGTGCAAACTAAATAGCAGGCTGCACCTCGTGGAGGATCAGATGGACAACAACCCTGGTGCCAAAGCAAGCTGAGCACGGTTAAAACCGGAGTTACTGTTTACATGTTAGTAACGAAGCGTAGGAGGAATCCAGCCCCAAAAAGCTCCCAGGTTTGGCTGCCCAGGTCCCAGAGCCATGTCGGGTGTGCAGGGAGGGAGCCAGCTCCTTCCTATTGGTGTAAGGGGGGATGTGGTTTGAGAGAGAAGCCCATGTGCAAGACAGAATGATGCTCCAAAATGGTAAGGAAGAGAAGAGAAGGAGCTCGTCCCTTGGCTGGTGGGAGGTGGCACCATGGCTGTGCCAAGGGAACAACCTCCCTCCCCAAAGCAGGAGGGAGGAGAAGGAACAACTGTAGGGAACTGGCAGAGATCTGCCGCTTGGACACTGCCTCCAGTACAGGAAAAAACATTACAGAAACCCTCCAAATCTGTAATGCACATCCCAGTGCTTTGGGGCCAGTGTCCTGCCTTCAGGTCCTAACTCATTGTTTCCTTGGTTGGGGTTTGCCTTTATTAAGAGTGAATTTCCCTCATCCCTGGCTCCCCTGGGTCTTATTTGCTCTGGGGGAGAGGAAAGTTCTGTTCTCTGCTCTTGGCAGAAAGCTCCCTCCCCGCCATGCTGTGTTGCACAGGTCCATGTGCTTGGGGCTTGGCCACAGACCCACATCGGCCTCTGTACATTGTGAGGAGCTGAGTGCCCCAAGGCCAGCTGGGGACTCACCTGGGCCAAGCAGGGAATGGTTGGGGAGATGCCAGAGGATGACAAGGAATGACTTACTCGCTGAGAGCCCTCTGTTAGAATCCTGCCTTCCAATATTTATTCCTTCCTCTAGCGTTCAGCCATGGAGCTTGCAATAGCTTGGTGGAAAAATCGAATGAAACTTTATGTTCCAAAAAGAGGATTTATTTAGTGGATTTTCGCAGTTTAAAATACACAGATCCGAGTGCTATGGAAGGGAATATACAAGCAGGGATGGGCTTCACAGTTCAAGGCATTTAGGAAACAGGCACTCTGGGAATTCTACAGTGAGGCATCAGCTCCCGATCCTGCCGCACTCTGTGGGCAGGTCTCCCGGCGGTTTCAGGCACTTACTGGAGATAAACAATACATAGCCACAGAAAGCTCCCAGGAGAGATGCTGGGTGCAGAAATGCTGCTGCTTCCCAAGGAGATGGGGACTTGATTTTAGAGAAGGTATGGCTTTCACAGTGCCATGTCCTCCAGTGAGGCTCAGGATGCTTCGTGTCCTTCAGCGAGAGCAGATGCTGCTCCTTTGCTCAGGGGACGTTTCCTTCAGTTCAGACTGCTCTATTCTTCACTCTTTCAAATATCTGCATCACTTTGCCTGCTGGTATGCAGCCTTCTCTCACAATGGTGATGCCACCTTCCCAGAAGAAGAAAGAAGTCAGGATAATCCCCAAAGGATGGAAGAGATGGAATATAAAGGAATATCTTGGACCAGGAAAGCCATACAAGTGCTCAGGACAACCAAATAATAAAGATGTGTAGCAAGAGGACCAGAAAACTTGTTGCATAGCAAAACCACGTCCTGACACTGACCCCACACTCTGTTCAAGGGTTTAGTTTTCCACTAGTGAACCCCTCTCAGATGACAACCCACATCCAGCTTATGACACCTCAGCTTGCACTGTTATGTCATTGTGGATGAGCTTCATTCTGGTGGGCTGCAAGGATCATCCACCCTTCCTCTCAGAAGCATCCACCCTCCCACTTGAAGCATTTTTACTGTTACAAGGCAGATTTTGTTTGCACAACCGTGTTTCTCCTCACTGCCTTGTTCTCTGTCAACACAGAGGTCTTCCAAGGACATCTTTTGTTTGTTCCTCTTCATCAACATGTTTGGAAATGTCCAGGCACTAGAGAACTGTTACTTTTGGAGCATGCTGTGCTGCCAGATTGATACTACTGAAAAGGTTGGAAACCTCCCAGGAAAATGCACTTGCTGACATAGAAAGGGTGGTTCTTACACTCACTTTCGTCAATCTTTGTGCAGTTGACCACAGTGGATGCCACCACCTCATCAGATTCTCCATCACACAGGACGCCCTCCAGCTTATGGCCAAGACGCCTGTAGGGGGAAAAAAGCAACAACACTGCACAGTACTTCATATTAGATCGTGCCAAAGACACCCTCCATTCAAAGCACCAGATCGTGGTCTATACACCACCCAGACGTGATGGCCACCCTTTAACTGTGGCTTGCACTGCAGCAGGAGTGCTGGTGAACAGGGTACTCACGAGATGACCATGTCATGGTGTGTGCTGTCAACCTCCCCGCTGGGATTAGCAGATGTGATTGCCAAGGGCCCTGTCATGTCAATGAGGTGCACCAGGACAGTCAGGTCAGGTACTCTGATCATGATGCTGTCTTGAGTTCCCACTCTGCTGTAGCCTGCTCCAACCCCTTAAAAGAAAGACAGGGAATGTTGGCAGAGGCAAGACTGGCACAATGCCTGGTGTAGCATCAGAGGGAGACCTACTGCTTCCTTTGCAAGTGGTCCTGCTCCATACTCCAATTCTGATCAGGTATCTTACCAGAAATCCATGAGAACAGCTGTAAGGTCTGGGGACTAGCTTGATTAAAAGGAAAAGACTGATGTCTGGAAATCAGCATAGCTTTTTTCATAGACATAGGATTGTAGAATCATGGAATGGGTTGGGTTGGGAGGGACCTTAAAGATCATTTGGTTCCAATCCCCTGCAGAGCAGGGACACCTTCCATTAGGGTCTAACTTCTTGTGATCATTGCCTACCCTCCCACTCCTGTCACACTCCTCTCCCTGTTATGCACCCTTCACTCTTGCTGTCTTCAGCCTGTAATATTGTCATTGATTCCCAGAAGCCAGGTTTGAGTGAGTCATACACTGCTCACAGTGTTGTGACTTTGTCCATAGGATGGGAAGGAAGAGGCAATGAGAAGTGATGCACATAGGAACCCCGTCCCTATTGGGACTACTCATCCATCTGATGCTCCACCCAGGGTTTGCTCATTCCCAGCTAACAGTTATGGGCTTGAAGGAGGTGACCCTCCCAGGCTGATGAACTTCCCTTGCTTCAAGTCTGCCTGAGTTAAAGAAATCATGTTGCTGGCTCACACTGTTCACGAGTCATTGCAGCGCTTTAACAGCCTCTTAAACATTCACCCAGGCATGCAACTGCTCCGGGGATGATTTCTGGGGATAAATGAGCATAATTTCTCCCCATTGACATCCAGAAAGGTTTGTGGATTGCAGACCTGCTGTGCTGAAAACAGGAAAATGGGAGAGGAGGGCTGTGCTGTTCATCTCACCTAACTTCTTCAGCCACTCTCCTTTCTTGATGATGCAGCCGATGCCACCAGGGTAAACGTTTTCCATGAATTCCCAAAGCAATGGGCTGATGGGGGGAGCAGCTGCTCGCAGCTGATCTAAGTTTGAAATAAAGATGCAGATGGGCTTCTCTTGAGGCCTGTCCTGCAAAAAACAGGAATAGAGGAAGGGAAGAAATAGATGAAGACAGAGTTTGCATTGAGAAGATGGGAAGCCCACAGGAACCCTGGTTTATGGGCTTCCCAGGGTCCAGGAGCTCCAAGAAAGTAAGATGTCATCTCTACTCCAAATGCTGAGCACAGGAGGGGGCTGGATGCTGTGATTGATGCCTCAGCTCAGATCTATATGTGCAAACTGAAGAAGAGAGAGAACAGTGGCCTGCTCTTGGGATCTTGGTGGGATGCATCCAAATCCTCTGCTGTAGACACAACCAACGCAGGACCACTGACGCTCTGCTCTTTATCAGTGTTTTTAACACTTTCTACACCAGGCCCTGATCCTCTTCTAACTTACACTGGTACAAGTCAAGGTCAAACACACCAATTCATGACAGGATAATGGAAGGGAGAGCCTAACCCCTGCAAACCAACACCTACATGACCACTTCATCAGTGCTTTGAAATAAGCTTCCTGTAAAATGAACACTGATATGGAGGGAACATAAAAAGAGCTCACAAAGCAGTGTCCTTTCAGTCCTCAACTGACATCAGTTTCAGTAGGGCCAAATGACTAAGGAACTGAGCATGTATTTACATTCTGTTTATATTATCTCATCGAAAGGGAAGGTTAGCATTGGCATCAAAGCAGGACAGAAAAGACTGTCTTTGTTGCTGATGTTCACACTAAGTGCCAGCTGAGATAGTCTGTTATGCTTATTTCTCCAGGCTAGCCAGGAAATTGCCTCATGGAGAATAGACAGGGCCAGGCTGCAAAAGTTGTATTGAAGCTGCAAAGTTTGGGTCTGTTTCCAGCACTGAATGTCTCCAAAAGTGTGGGGGAATTCAGAGCTGGGATTCTTATTCAGCACTTTGTAAGACAGAGAGGACAAATAGAGGTTTGGATCCACTGGTGACAAGCATCAGGGTGGTTCCAGTTTGGGTTTGTGCTTTACCCCCCAGTGAAGCAGGATGTAGTTGTCTTATCCCCACTGCCCCACACCCAGAGCAGAGGGTGCTTCACCCCAGGTTGCTCAGCTCAGGAAATGGGCCCTGACTTTTTGCTTTGGCTACTCATAAACTCCATCTATAGTCAAATCTGAGGCTTAGGACAACTTGAAATAAGGGGCTCCCATTTCTGTTCCTATACATAATTCATCTATAGGACATAAACAAAAGCCAAGTAACAAGATGACAGCCTTGTATTCACACCTTGATTCTGTAGACCTTCTCGATGGCTTGAGGGTGTTTGCAGGAGGCTGCCAAAGCGTACACAGTGTCTGTTGGTACCCCACATACCGCCCCTGTGTTCAGCAAGTCAGCAATGGTCCTCAAGCCACTTGTACAGTGGGACCTGGGGCAGATGCAGGGTGGAGGATCCTTGGTGTCCTTCTTAGAGCTTTCAATCTGGCAATAAGCAGAAGGCAACAAATGCATTACGGTGCAAATAAGGAAAGATGAGACAGAGAGTAGGATACAGTCCACTCAAACGCAGGTACCTCACTGTGCCATGCTCCCTTGATAGCCAAAATGCATAGGCAGCACTTCTAAGGATGTTTCACCTCAATTATGAGATGAATTACAAGGCAGAAGTGATTACTGCTATCCCAGTAATAAAGACAAAGCTCAGGTGAGGATTCAGAGGAAGAGAAATTCCATGGAAATCTGAAATCCCTTAGGTAAGATTGAAGAACTCAGGTTATCCCTCCTGACCAGGGAAGCTACACCATCATGCAAAAGTGTCTTACTGTGAGCAGTGGGGTTCCCATCATCATCAGATCCTTCCCAAACATGTTGTTTGCAAGTGATGCTGTGGCTCCATAGAAGCAGATGATGCTGAAGATGCTCAGCATCACAACTGGGAAAGAAAAAAGAGAGAGTCAAAGGCAGGAAGGTTTTTATCTTCTCTATCTCATCACTTCCTAGCATTGCAAACTTACTTCAGTCTTTCCTGTCATGCACCATTTTCAGTCCAGCATACTTGTGGGTCTAAAATTCCAAGGCATTTCCAGCCTTGCCTACCTGTGCATCTTTTGCCATATGGCTTTAGGTTTTTTTTTCTGGTGGAAAAGCTTCTACAAAGCATCTTGCTAAAGTACTTAAAGTCATTACAAATGGGACTGTCACTTGCAGCAAAGCCAAAGTTTCAACAGAAGTACAGCCATTCACACAGGTGGCACATTTAGCTCATCCCAAGCCTTAGCTCACAGAACAGCTACTAGCAAGAAGGTCTGTAAAGAACCTCAGGAGGTTGCCTTCATCCAGCATTATGAGCCACATCTAAATGCTTAGTAGGAAGCTCAAGGACCTGTGGATGATATGAGGAAAGGTTTCCTCCTCCAATCATGGAGCTGAGAGGCCAGTCTTGTAGGGAAAGATGACACACTCTTCCACTTGTGTTGTCCCATGCTGAGTTTGTGCAGAGCATTGCTCCTCAATCAGGGACCCACTCACTGCACTCTATGGGTGAAGGTTTGATGACCAAGTTCACCCAAAACTCACTTTCAAATGGCAAAGGGAGCTTCTCCAACGTAAAGAGCAGAAAGCAAATGGTCAAGAGCTCCATTGCAAGGGTCATGCAGAGAAGCACCACATTAAAAGTAGAAGCTGTGAAAAGAAATGGAAACAAGAGGGAACCACATCAGAGAATGGACCATAAAAATGTATGTGAAACAGCAGAAGAGTTCCTAAATCAACTTAATCTTATCTGATTAAACAGAGCAGTGTGTGGCCTGACTTCCCTGTTCATGGAGGAAGAAAGGCTTGGCTATGGTTCATTCAGCCCTCAGCTTTCAAGAGACAGGCTGCCAAACTCTTAACCTGCCAGTACACTGTGCTCACATGGAAAACACTTCCTGGGCAGCCAAGACTCTGATTTACAGCAGCTGGACCATGGATAAATGCCAAGGGTCCAGTCCATCTGACACTTTCACCTCACTTGAACCCTTTATTTTCTTTGAAATGTTCTTCCTTTCCATTATGACTGGTTCTTCTAAGCTCAAGTCAGCTCCTGTTACTGGCTGTGGGCAAAACGGTTCAGTTCATCCTTAACTGGCGTGACAGAGAGATCTGAGACTCTTGTGCATCTCCACCACAGAACAAACATGATGGGATTAATGCTCTGACCCAATTATCCCTCAGCAAACAATCACACATGGCTCTGAGACTTACCTAGAACAATTAGAAAAGCATTGAGCACCAAAAAGGCAACGGAACCTGCAGTGAATCCTTCGCTGTTCCCTGCACTGATGTTCATGAAGTGGCCTGAAATAGGACCAGAAGATTGAGTTGTCAGCAAACCATCATGTGCAGCATAACAGAAGAATGACATATGTGCAGCTGGAATGACCACAACTCAAAACAGCTGATGGTTTAAACCACGACACCACTATAAAGAAAATCATCCATATCCAAACCCATTGCTTCTGAAATGCAAAACAGTTTAGGTATTAAGTGGAAGACTGAGGATGGTTATCCAGAAAAGGTGATGATTTTGCCTCCAGCTTGTAATAAACAGGGTCTGGCTGAAAACATTAGCAGCTTCTTGCCATTACCTCTTAAAAAATAGCTTTAACTTTCCCTACAGGTGCTCATTTTAATAGGACTTGGCATGGAGATTCTATGAATATGCTGCCCACCTGGAGCCAAATAAGGCTTTTTAAAGCCCAGGCTCAGCATTCTGACCTCTTCTTTCATGACTATGAGTAACTCAGTTGCTCTAGGCTTCTGAAGGATAAATCCATGAACTTGGAGCCTGCCACTGCCTGAAAAGCATCTCCTGAACTGTTATTCTGGGATAATGGTGCAGAAACAGACTGAGTGCTGTCTCACAACAGCTTAGCCAGAACATTTTGACCTCTGTTGGGTTGAAGACACAGCTTGGACTCCTGTAGCTGTGAGAGTACCAAGTGACGGCAGCAATGGCAATCGATTGCTTGAGTACAAGCTGGGATGTTCAGTCATTATCTATTTACAAGGAGAAATGCTGGTAAACCTGGTGTCATTGAATCTCCTGGGAGAAGGAATTATGTTAAAGAAAGTAACTTGTAATTTCCTAAAAGCACCCCTTTTTTGAGAAAACAAAGTAATCATCCTGACCTTGCATTACCTGCAAACCGAAGCCAGGTCCATGCTCCCCAGAAGGCAGAGTAGCAGAATGGAAGAACACAACCGAACCTTCTCCCTCTCTGAACCTGGATCCTGCAGATGTAGAGCTGCATTATGGCTCCTGGGATTAGCACGGAGGGTACGGAGAGTTGCTGTCTGCTGGGGTCACTGAAGCTACCCTGGATGGCAGAGACTGCAGCCAGGCCATTGCAGATGTAGAACAATGCATCTGGCACTTCAGCACTGGTGCCACTTGGGAAGTTCTTGGACCTTGTGAGGCAGGTTTTGGCAGCCATCAGTGTGGTTTGCAGAGCTGAGCTGGACATAGCCTGCATGCCAACTGGAATCAAGACCTTCTCCCCGATGGAATTGATAAGGGTGGCAAAAGTGGCATACAGAGATAGGGCAGTGCAAAGGCTGCAGGCAGCCCCCAGGAACAGGTAAGCACCTGGCATTGGGATCTGATGGATGGAGGCTGCTGTGAGGATGATGAATGAGGCGTTTTGCAGCATCTCCAGGGTATCTTTGTGGGTTGACATCAGAAACAGCATGCAGGCAGTGGCCAGGAAGAACCACCCTCCAAACATTCCTAGCCTGCTTTCCTCAGCTTTGGACAGCCCGAGGAAGGTGGTGACTGTAAACTCTTCCCAAGACATCACCAGCCAGTAGAGGCTGTGGACACCAAGCTTGGTCGTGTGGTAGACGTCACCTCTTAGGTAGCTGTAGAAGCTGGACAGAAGCTGGCAGCTGGAGATGATGGATATCCACGCTGCTCCCACACAGAAGGTCTTCATGTACCCAAAGAAGTAAAAGGCAAACATAAAGGCAGAGACAGTATCGCAGATGTTGCCTAGGGCCATGGGCTCTGCATACTTCGTGTTCTTCTTCTTTTCTTCCCCAATGGCCTTGGAAGAGCTCCTCTGTGCTGACCCTAGTAGCAAGACATTGAAGAGAGGATGCCCAAAGCCTGGAAGGACGTACCGTTGTGTGATGCCCTTCAACAGAAGAGCCACGGCTCCATACAACCCACAGATGACAATGACAATCTCAATGACACCAGATACTACCAGGGCCCACTGGCCAAACAGGGCAACCGCTTCAAACACCAGGGCGAGCGCGATGGCCCCAAAAATGAAGGGCATGATGTAGTTCACTGTGGCTGAGCAGAAGGACAGGATAAAGGAAATGGAAATGTAGGCCACCAGCCCAGCCACCACGCTTTGGCTAGAAGAGAGCTGGGCCATGTCAGTGAGCAGGAGGTGGCTGGCATTCCCCGAGGGCAGTGTTATGTTCTGCAAGGAGGGGTACGCAGCCACAATGATGCGTGTAGCCCCGTAGCTGCTCCACAGAGCAGAGAAGGTGAAAAAGGCTGTGCCTCCAAGGTGGTCATACTTCCGGAAGGTAAGAAATCCTGCCAGGAGCTGGACAAAGCCTCCAGTCAGGATGAGGTGGACACCTGAGAGACACAATGAAGAGGTCATGTAGAGTTAGAGGTTAGGGTAACAGAGAGTTATACTGTTGAGGTGAGTTCAGATGACATTAAGATGCTCCGAGAGCTGAAGCACCTCCATTGTGGAGACATGCTGAGAGCTGGGGTTGTTCAGCCTGGAGAAGAGAAGGCTCCTTAAGGGGAGACCTTAGAGCAGCTCCAGTGCCTAAAGGGGCTCCAGGAAACCTGGAGAGGGGCTTTGGAGAAGGGCCTGTAGGGACAGGCCAAGGGGAATGGCTTGAACCTGCCAGAGGGGAGACTGAGATGAGCTCTTAGGCAGAAGCTCTTCCCTGTGAGGGTGCTGAGGCGCTGGCACAGGGTGCCCAGAGAAGCTGTGGCTGCCCCATCCCTGGCAGTGTTCAAGGCCAGGTTGGACACAGGGGCTTGGAGCAAGCTGCTCTAGTGGAAGGTGTCCCTGCCTGTGGCAGGGGTTGGAACTGGGTGCGCTTTAAGGTCCCTTCCAACCCAAACCAGCCGGGATTCTATGAATCTATTCAATATGCAGCAGTTATGTGCATGTGTGTGTGTAGTGGGAGTGACACTGGGTCTTTCTGCTAATATACACAGCGCCTACAGTCCAATACTATGAAACAGTGCTCTCAGGCCAAGTTCACCTCTGAGCAGCACCCCTGGTATCCCCCCCTGAGCATCATCACCCACCTGCAAGGATGTCCTCTGCTCCCTGTGGCTTGATGCCGGTGTGCACCACAGTGAGGTTCTGCAGGCAGAGGAGGAAGGCGCTGACCACGTTCGCCAGGAGCCCCAGCACTGCCGGCTCGCTGTAGAAGACAGCGGCGAAGCCCGCGGTGCTCGCCATGGCCCCTGCAGACACAACAGGAGCGCCGGCGGTCACCCCACCGCCTCACCGTCCCCGGCGTCTAGACCAGTGCTGCCTCGGCACGGGCACTGAGCCAACCTTCAGAGCCGTGCCCCTGCTCCAAGCAGGGAGGAACTGGTGACAGGCTCAGGTGTTTCCACCGTGCCTCCCGGCTCGTTGCTCCAGACAAAGGCTCGATTCAAAGCAGAGCTTTAGGTGTCTACTTTCCGGAGTCCTATCCAGAAAAAACACACACAACCTATTTAGGCTACAAGGATTTCTGGCAAAAACATGTTTAGGTGCCCCAAAGCGCTGCAGGTGTTGGTGATGGTTCCTGTCCCCTCTCCTCCAAGCTGCTGGAGATGGAGAGCAATGAATAGCCTAACACAAATGAACAAACATTCAGACAAAACCCACAAGGTATTTTTGAGCCATTCCAGGACGTTTCTTATCCACTGTTACAGACAAACAGGCAGGCACGGCGTACGCATACACAGTCTCCCAGATGGAATTTTCCAGCTCCATCCCTTTCTTGAAACCCCAGTGACTAAACAGTTTATTTTCAAACCCTTCATATTTCTACCATTAACTCGTCTATTTGCAGGCAGCCCCCACATTTCCATTCCTCTGCACTCCTGGGTACCATGAGCTGGAGTTTTCTCTCTGGAGGTTTTTGTTAGGAAACAAAGATGAAAATAAAACAGCAATGTCCTTGTTATTTTGGTATTTTTGGCACACCAGATGACCTAAAGGAGCTGGAAAAGGAGAAAGTGATGTAGTCTGTTCTCAGCCATTCCAAAAAGCCTTTTGGAAAGCCAGGGAAGCATGCAGCACTACTATTGACATGGGAAGTGAGCAGTGGAGGAGCACCACCAGGGGAAGAGAGAGTTTTGTGAATATTAAACAACCCAAATCCCAGTGTCTGCTCTTAAACACAGTATTCATCAGCAGACGTATAGTTTGCAAACATCACAGGCCTCTGGACTCTTGTTCCACTAAACCCCCATGTTTTCCTTTTCTCCATTGATTCTGAAGGATGTGATTTTCTCCAGAATGAGGAATGAAGGATAAATTATCTCCTAATAGCTCTGAACTGATTCAGTGACTTCAACTTCATGAAATGTGGAAATGGTAAAAAACAATCAAGTGAGCCTTGGGGAGGGCAATTCGTTAATTCAATTATTTGATTGTGCTAAAGGTTAGGTTTTTTTGGTTCAGAGATACGCACCCAGTCACAGTTCTGCAGGAGGCACAAGCATCTCTGTAAAGTACTGACCTGAGGAAGGCCCTTAAGACTGCACCTTAGGAAGAGCTCAGCAGTATCTGTGCTGTCCATGATGCTGTCATGCCACATGGCATTGAGATATAAAGAAGCCGTTTGGTTTACATACTAGGAGGCGGGCCATGATCTTTACTTCCTCCAGATGTTTTGCTCTGAAATGTCTCAGACAGTGGCTTTCTAGGTATGCTTTAACAAGCCCCTGTTTTGAGCCAGTCTCTGGAGGGGGATGAGATAGGTTTCTGGAGGAAGATGGGCTTGCCAGGTGTCTCCCTGGCTTGCAGAAGAAGTGCTTTTCAATTTGCCATGGCTCATATTGGCAGTTCCTGCATAACTAGTGGTTTTAGAGCCTGCAACACACAGCTTGGTTCTGTGAAGGATGTAGAGACACAATTCATAGGGATGTTTCTCTCTTCTTGCAATGCAGCCCTTCAAATGATGTCTGAAAATATGCCATATCATACTACAGATGTGTAAAGGGAGAGGATGTGAGAGGATTTAGACCAAGATATGGAAAAGGAGGAGGATGAAGGAACTTCATTTGGGAAGCGAAGGGCTTGGGGTTGGAAACTGCTGCAGACCTACCCACAGCAGCCCCCCCACTCTGCAAACACAAACTGTGCATTGCTTCCACCTCTATTTCATGCAGCATAAAGACACATCAAATAATGAATCCCCTCCCATTGTTGTCTCAGGGGTAGCAGCACTAGTGATGATGTGGGCTGCAGCAAGAAATGAGGCTTCTGCATGGTAACAGAGGTGTTTTCTGCTCAAAGCCTTGTTTGTCCATAGGATAAAACCCCTCATTGCTGTTGTCACTATGTTTTGCACAGCTACTGCCTCTGGCGCTTTGGTAGGACCTGTTTCTCTACACGCACTAGTGCAAACCAAGCGTGACACCTCTCTGCTCCATGAAACACAGCAAGGAGGCATCTCCCACCAAGCCTTTCCTTTGTCCTCAAGCCTGCAAGCTGCGTGTCCTCAGCTGGCACTGATGCAAAGCAGCTGTTTGGGTATTCTGCAAGCAACACAGACCAGCATGGAGGCAGAGGAGCAAAGGGGAGGTCTCTTTCTACCATGTGGGGTTAGCAGCTCTCTGCAGACATGGGGTACCAGCCAGCACAGCCACTGTCCAGGAAACCACACGGATGGAGGTGTCCTCACAGTGAGGAGGCACGTGGAGAGCTGGGGCACTGCCAAGGCTGGCGGATGATGGGGCAGCCCGGGGCGATCCTTCTTTTGTACAAATCCCTCATGCAGCAAGGGCAAAGCCAAAGCCATCCTTTTCCTCACCCAACCTCCTCCATCTTCCTTCCTTTTTCCTGCTTGCCCCTGTCATTCATCAGCTTGGGGTTTGCAGAAATGGCTTATGAGGTCCTCCCTCTGTCCTGGCTCTTGTCCCTGCAGCATGAGCCATGCCCATGCGGGCTGCTCGCTGCAGCCTCTGATCACCTTTTTCTTGCAATAACTCTCTTTCCAAAATAGGTCACAGTCTTCTGCACCCCTCTTCCACCTCACTGCTATACCTGGGCTTTGCAGACACTGCTGTGTGCATCTGCTTTGCACTGTCATTTGTGCTTCACCTTGACTTATACTAATGGGAATATTCTGATGTGTGGACATTGTCTCCAAAGGAGGTTGGAACAAAGCTTAGCATGCCATGGGACACATATATAAACACCAATATGTTACATTTATCAGACACTTATTCCCATGTGGCATTTTACTATTAGTTTTTCATCCCACCTTATTAATGATAACAACTGTTTACACAGCTCAGAGGAAACACTGCTTCTCTCCAGATAAACATGTTAAGAGAATGAAATGAAATTGGTTTTGGCTAAGCACATAGCAAGATTAACAGTGCACAACAATGCCATGCAGCTGGGTTAAATACCCCAACCCTGACTCTCCTCTGATGAAAACCAGCACCAAGTTGCCTGAGGTGCATTGCTGCATCAACAGTGATTAAGGATCTGCCTTAGTATTTAGTAGAAGATTCTGGTTTAAAATGCAAGGTGTGCCACACCAGGCTGCTGTTCTGTACTGAAGAACCTGCAGCATGTTGAATGTCCCCAGGTTTCACTCCTGGACCAAGCAAAGAGCCATGGCATCCCCCCAAAGTCCAAACATCCATTTGGGAATGAGAAGTCCCAACGCCTCCTGGCAGCAGCAGCGTCCACCTCTGCACTAACCCTTCAGTGAACCCACAGCCCATGGCAGGCAGCATCACAGAGATGACTATTTAGAAGGAGGAGAGCTATGAAAAGATTCAGCCAAATGACAAAACACTGAATGTATTCAAGAAAAGCACCAAAGAAAACCACCAATGCCTCGCTTCTCCCTCTGCAGCTTGGATTACCTGGTTTGGTGACACTTCAGCTCAATGGGAGGATGCTCTTGTCCCTCTCATTTCCTGGTCAGTACCAGTTTTATAGTCCTCCTCTGTAGGAGGAGCCTGGGGCCAGTTGCTTCACATACTGGCACCTGTAGCATTGGGAGACAGGAATTTCCTTGAACTTTGTCAGTTATTGTCCTAAATATTTTTTTATTTCCTGAAACCAGGGGGGGTTTCCCTTGTGTTCGGCAGAGAAAAACCACCCCTCCTCATCTATTCCCCCCACCCTCTCCGTCCCCAGAGGCTGATGTCATCCCACTTGAAATTCATTTGCAAAAAAACAAAAAGCAAATTGCCTTTCAGAAGCATATATAAACCCTGACACCAAAGCACCTTGCAGACAGACACCTCTCCCATCCCTCGAATAGCGCAGAGCTGGGCACTAGGCAGTGGTAACAGCCACCAGCATGGTCTACTTAACCTTACAGGTAACTACTATTTCATGTACAAACCCTATCCATCTCTGATCTTTCCTTCTTCACTTTAAAGAGGCAATGTTGTTTTCCGGGCAGTTCCTCAACTGGCCGAAATTGCCGTGACATGAAGTGGGAACCTGCCCCAATACTAACAAAATCAGAAGGTTTTCACAGACACTTTATTTACAGTTACTAACCTGTTCCTTTCATGCCTGTTCTTTTTTATGCATCCCACATGGGTTTATATGATGCCATGGCAGGGGGGTTGTTGTTGTTGGGACGTGTTGTGTGGTGTTTTACTCCTTGTGCTCACCCTGAGCTGGTGTTGCTAGCAGATGGAACGGGATTATTCCATGGTAGGTCTGCAAAGGCTGTGCTGCCCCTTGTACTGTACTGCTTTATTTCCCTGGCTAGGCTTGGCATCCCTGCTGGACTGAGCCTTGGAAAATGTTTTTCTCCTTTAAATATGTAGCCAGTTTTATCCGCCTGTTTGATCTGTGAGTGTCTCACAGTGCCATGTTAGAGGCACAACCAGAGTAAAGCGGCTTTGGTGACAAATGCTCTTTCTCTGTCTTTAGATATCCCAGAAGTTCTTGGCAAGCTCCCGGCAAGTTCACAAAACTGCTGCTCACGGTTTGTACCTCTCTGCAGAACAGCATTCCCTGTCCTTTTTTAAAGAGCATACAAATAACCATGTTACTGCTTTAGAAACAGAAAGGTTCTGGGCTGCTTGTGCTGAGATAAACCGCTCAAATCCTCGGAAGATAAACGTGTTTGGGGGGGTCTTGGTGTGATTATTGCCCGTGGTTGCTAAAGAACAAGGAGAAAAGTAACAAATGATAAAAATGCTGATTGTTGATTGTATGCTAAACCATAAACTTTAACTGATTTAGAACCAGCCTTTCCAAATTCTTACTCTTTGACCATAAATGTGAGATACTTAAGTTGGAGCTGTCATCGGCTTGCTCAGATCCTTAACTCCCCTGTCTGTCACCACTTCTTTATTACATCTGATCTTGCTATTAGCACTGCTTGAAGCAATTCAGGGGTCATTCCCTGTGTCTCACAGCAGAGGAGCTTCTGCACAGCTACAGCTTCTCGCTTCAGGCAAATTAAGCAGGACTTTGCTGTGTAGCCACTTGGTCTCTCATAAGTTTGTCTGTTAAGTGATTTTAAAATGTGTTATTAATATAAAAAATGCAATGAATTCTGCTTAATCAACACTTGAGAAAAGAGGATTAATAATAATCTACATAGATCTATTTGGTCGTGGATGGAGTATTTTGGGGTTTAATGAAGTTCTGCAGCACCATTACTGTACCCAGACAGAAACACTGGAGTCATGAAATGCTTTTAATGGAAGGGTTAAAAAATATCTCTGCCTACTGAAGTGACAAAGAGCCTTTGATGACGGGAAGGAAGCAATCCAGATTTTATGGCTGTGGTGTGATTCAAGCAGATTTTCCTCCAGCCTCTCCAGTCCAGTTTGTTCCTTCTCCTTGAGGGCGGAGGTTTGTAGGACGCTGAGGATGCTCCGGGTACACAGAGAGGACACAGGTTTTTGTCAGCAGAAGCTTTTCCAAAGTGCTGAGTGTTACAGATTCCTATAGCGATGCATTTCATGGAGCCGCTGCAAGGGGGGAATGTTATGCCCGTGAGTCACAGCCATGATGACATTCTCAGCTGTGTTTACAAATGGATTTTAGTCTCTGAGGCTCTAGGTGAGTCCAAATACACTTGCAAGCAAACTGTGAGTCAGTAGGCATGACATTTAAGGATGAATACAGGCTACTGAAATTAGGGAATGGTCATTTTTTTTCTTAATTGGGGTGTTTTCTGGTTGAAAAATAAAGTGTCATCATCTGCTGATCCTCATGAGGTTTCCTGTAAGATGTTGAAGCAAAGTGTTTTTACTTGGTTGCTTCACTCATCCTGACTTTTTCATGTCGTTAGTTTCATTTGGACATTAGTGCTGGCTTTGATCTGTGTGCATGCGTGTGTATTCCCCCATCATGCATACCTACATGCGGATTTGCAATCATGCATATGTTAGCTATATTGAATTTTATCGTTTTCTGCTCTTGTGCACTCTCAAAATTATCTTATAAATTATAATGGGTATAAGAATGATCATTCTATGAATTATGAATTCATCAAAACAATTTTGTCCCAAACTGGGTATTTTCCACTGAATTTTAATGCCACCAAAGATTTGGGCATGGTGACTTCCAAACCCAAAAGCGCCAGGAGTTTGTCTGCCCAGCTCTGCCTTTGAGGTCACAAATACAAGCACCAACTTTGCCTTGGGAAGCTTAATATGTTGCTTTTTGTCTGCCAGCAAAGATGTTCTCAGAGACAGGGAAAGCTCTCCTTCAAATACCAAGCTCAGGAGATCTTCTGTTTAATCCCCATCTGAAGCATAGGCTGGATCCTCTGATAAGCTGAGCTCAACTATGAAAGAACATAAAAAGACTTGTTTTAAGCACTAGCATCCTTTTGAGTACATAGGGCTTGAGGGTTTTGTGGTTGAGTCAAGACACCTCAGTGACTTGTAAGATCCAGCTTCTGGATAAATCCAGGCTTTGGGTGTAGTCCTACACTGGTAATGTAGCAGGGCTTCTGCTCTGCCTGTTCTCCAGATAAAGGGACATAATTTGTATTGATCATCAGCACATAGCCCACACATGTCTTTATCCCCTCTCCTCTCTCTTGGTGCTGCAGTGGTGGCCAGGAGTGCTCCGGAGGAGACAGTGACCAGCAGCTTTGCCTCCTTCATCCATGCAGTTCGACCCGAGCACTTGTCCAAGACTGTCCGTCACAGAAGCAAGAGGATGATCCTTGACAGCATCGGGGTTGGCCTTGTGGGTAGCACAACACACGTGTTTGACATCGCTCTGCAGTACTGCCGGGTAGGAATGGTCCCATATTCCCACGTAGTTAATGTGGTCCTGACACCACCACCACATCCAAATCCTGCTTTCATGGCTGACACAGGACTTTTGCCTTGCAGTAAAGGAGTGTTCTGGCATCACAGTCACTGCTTCACTCAAGGTCCTCACCTGAATCTCCCTCCCTTTCACAGGAGCTGTACTCTTCAGTTGCTGTGAGCTCTGTCTATGGCAAGCCAGGGGTAAAGCTCTCCCCCACGCTGGCTGCGTTCACCAACGGAGTTGCGGTAAGTCGGGCTCTTCCAGGAGCAGAGCTGCTCTGTGGGACCTTCAGAGACACTAGTTACAATTACAGGAAGCAGGGGCTTGGAACTGGATGAGCATTAAGGTCCCCCATAAACCATAATATCTATCAATCTATAATTCTATGGGAACTAGTGGATGGATGCTGTTACAGATGCAGCTTCATCAGCAAGGACCTGTAGCCTCCTCAGTTTCCAGCCCCCCCACACCAGCATGTCCTTATCTCCATTTCTCTGGCAGACTCACTCCATGGACTTTGACGATACCTGGCACCCTGCTACTCATCCATCAGGGGCTGTGCTGCCAGCTCTTCTGGCAGCTTCCCAGATGCTACCTCCAAGCACCAAACCCAATGGCATGGATTTCCTGCTGGCATTTAACGTGGGCCTGGAAGTGCAAGGAAGGCTCATGCATTTCTCCACTGAGGCTCACAACATTCCTAAAAGGTAAACCTCCTTTTCTTCACCAAGTAGGAAGAGGGCTGGTGAGTGTTAACAGTGCTACTCAGGGTTTCAATATGTTAGTTTAAGTCTGGCTGAACTCCGGATCAGGGTAAGGACCTACTGAGAGCCAAATGCCAGTTCTCCCCAGGCTGATGAGGCACCACATATTCATTTGGTGACCTCCAGTGATCTTCCCTCAAAACTAACCATCAACAGGACTAGCACTGAGTCTGCAGCGTTATCACCTAAACTAGCCAGGACAAGAGCACAGGACAGGTAGTGTTCACAGCCATACAGACAGCTTAATTGTGGCCACAGCCCCAGGCAGTACCCTGGTGTGTTCCAAGGGATGGCATGACCAGGAGCTGTTACCCTTGAGCATGGTGGATGAAGCCACCTTATCTGTCTGGGGGAAGAAACTTTAGCTGTATGGACACAAGCTATGCCACCTACCCGTAGGGAAAACTACAAATGGCTTTCTGGAGATGCTGAGCTCACTCTGTTGTCTCCAATGAAGTTTCAAGAAGACAGTTTGTAGATGGCTACATTCTGAGTTAGGTAAATCCCACCTGCACCAGAGCTGTGAGGGTAGCTGGCAGTTCACCCTAGTCCCAGGCAGGTCTGGTGGATGAAGTTTTTGGATGTTCCCTGTGCCAAGCAGGCAGGAAGCTCATATCTGCGATTTCCCCCCGTATCTGCAGGTTCCACCCTCCCTCGGTGGTCGGTACCATGGGCAGTGCTGCAGCCACAGCGAAACTCCTGTCTCTCAGCGTGGCCCAGTGCGCACACGCTTTGGGCATTGCCGCATCGCTTGCAGGGGCACCCATGGCCAATGCTGCCACCCAAGCCAAGCCATTGCACATTGGAAATGCCACCCGCCTGGGCTTCGAAGCAGCACTGCTGGCTGCCCGAGGGATGGAGGCCAACCCCTTGATTCTGGATGATATCCCTGGTTGCTCTGGATTCAGTGCTTTCTACAGTGTCTATCAACCCAAACCACTCTCCACACCAAGTGACCACCATGAGTTCCTCTTGGAGAAGCAGGATATTGCTTTCAAGAGATTCCCAGCCCACCTGGGGATGCACTGGGTGGTGGATGCTGCCTTGTCTGTCCGGAACCTCTTCATCAACTACGCAGGGTCCTTCTCTCCCTCTTTGATCCGTACCATTGTGCTGAAGATCCCAGTGTCAAAGTACATCAATCGGCCTTTCCCCAGCTCTGAACACCAGGCTAGACACTCCTTCCAGTTCAATGCCTGTACTGCCCTGTTGGATGGGGAAGTGGGGCTGAGCTCCTTTGCAGAGAGCAGCATCCAGCGGCAGGAGCTGAGGGAGCTGCTGGACAAAGTGGTGGTGGAGCACCCTGAAGATAATGTGGCCAACTTTGACAAGATGTACGGAGAGGTGGCACTGCTCCTGCACAGCGGGGACGTCCTCACAGGCAAATGTGACACTTTCTATGGGCACTGGAGGAAGCCTCTGAGCAAAGAATCACTCCTGAAGAAGTTTCGCTCCAATGCCTCCCATGTGCTTCCAGAAGAAAAAATAGAAACCATCATCACTATGGTAGACAACCTGGAGAAACTGTCAGATAGTTCCCAGCTGGCCTGCAGCCTGTGAGGGAACAGCAAGCGGTGTTTAGATACAGGACTTTTCCCAGGGAAACTCCGGTTCCTCTCTTCATTGGTGCTTTACTTTTGTTTTTCCAATGACAGGAAAATTCCCACCCCTTGAAGTCGAAGTAGACGCTTTAATACCAAAGGAGCCCACGAGGCAGGAGGTGTGCCTGTGTCAGTGATCAGGACACGGATTGAATCCCAACACATAGCTGGCTGCAAGGCCATCACAAATAATGAAACTCCCATGGAATTCCGTGAGAATCCTGGGGTATCACCTGGAAGCCGGCTCCCCAGAAGGAACCGTGTCTAGATCTTTTTTCAAGCTGCATTGCAAGATTTTCTGTGCAGGATGCCTGACTGCTGAGTCTGGGAAGGAGAGGAAGCTCAGCTGCAAGCTGTGTGCTTTTCTTAGCGCTCTTCTGGGCACTTTTGTTATCATGGTTAGTCATGCTGGCCAGCTGAAAAACCTATCAGTTACTGTAAACAGCCCTGCCTGCAAAACCCTCAGGCAGAGATGGATTATTTCCTTTTCCAGTAAAAGCCTCCCATTTCTCCAGTGCTGGGGAAGTGTTTTTCACTTCTCTGTGTACAAGGGATGGTTCAAGGAACTTTAAAACCTGTATTTCTTTTCTGAAGGGAAGGCAGTTGGAAGGTGAGGAGCCCTACACCACTCCTACACCTGATCCTATGCTGCCTGCAAGGTGATCCCTGCCAGTTCTTTGTCACAGCATCCTTCCCAGGTTTGCCCTACTCAGAGCTGGTTCACCAGAGGTGGTCTTTATAGTCTCTGCAGAGATGGGCCCCTCTGGATGGTGACCTGGGCACATACACACCATGACTCACACTGGGAAATTCCTGTTTCTCTCCCCTTAGAGGAGGGAAAGCTCAATGAGACTCAGTCCTTAACTCATCTTTCCAGCTGGGATGAGATCAGCACTTGTGCTCCTGTGCAGCCATTCACTGGAAGGCTTCTGACCCTGCCTCCTTTGTGAGCAGTGAGATGGAGAACTGTGCAATAATCTGCTGTACATGAAACAGATACTGTGACTGCTGATCCAAAGGAGTGGCCTCCAATCATGATAAAGGTGCAGCACCCATTGCAGAAATGAAGGTGCCTTCTGCAAGGCACAGAGCAATGGGACTAGTGAAGCAAGAAGGCATCTGGGCTGGTTCCTTTTCAGCTTGCAGTGGTCTTTGCAGAGGACTTCCCAGTTAGAGCAGAACTGTTTGCCCACCTATAATTCCCCTCTCTCATACTGTCTCGCATATTCCCATTGAATCTTTATGAATAAAGAACTGAAGTAAACTTATTTTCTGCGTGAAGATTTAATGCTAACATTATGTGGACCATCAGGTTTTCTGAACATATTCAGTATAGAGGCTTTTCCAGTAGATGGGGGTCCCAGCAGAGGCTAGCTAGAAAGCTAGTGTGTGCCCAGGGATTTCTCCAGCCATATATTTACATTGAGCACTGCAGGCTGTTTTTTCCTCATGAAGACAATAGCCCACAGGCAGCAAAGCCTGGCTGTGGTTAAACATGGTCTCTCATCAAAGAGAAGTTACACAATGTTTCCCCACTAAGCAACTGATTTCAAATATTTGTCAAGTTTCCACAACAAGCTTCTGGTTTCTTTTGGCTGGAGTCACACCTTTTACTAGCTTTTCAGCTGGGTTTCAGGCTGCATTTTGTCCCCATGATCCAGAAACCTCACTCAGGCCTTGTCTGTCCCATCAGGTGTAATCTTGACACCTTTGAGCAGACACTGTGTAAAATTAGGAAGGGAAGGCACAGGAAGGCTGGTAGGGCCCAACTCCCTTTTTATCAGACCCCTTATCAGTTGAAGAAGTAAGAGGCTTTTCCAGAGGACCCAAAGGCATAGCCAAGGCTTTTTTCTTTCATGATATTTCATCTAAAAGCCAAGAAACCTGAAAACACCTCCAGTATCCCAGTCCAGGAAAGTGTCTCACTTGTTGTTTTCACTTTCACACAAAAAATGCTTCATATTCTTAACTAATTCAGAGGCCCAAAGCCCTGACAAGGGATGCAAGACCTTAGAATAGCCAAGGAAACAAATGACGTATGAAAATTACAGACCAGCTTGTGTGACACTGAGGGTGTTCAGCGATTAATGTGGTGTTACCAAAATCTCTCAGGCTGAATAAGAAAAGAGCCATTTTCCTTCTTTCAACTGCTGTTCCAAGAAAAATGATGCTTAAATTTAAGAAAAGGACACATTTCTCCACAAACATATTTATGGTAGCAAGCTCAGTGACTGAAAGGACACTCGCAGTGCAGAGACAGGCAGGATCTGTGTTGGCAATCAATCAATAACTACAGTCCCACACCAGAAATTAATAGGGCTCTGCTGGCACAAGCACTTTGCTGGGGAGAACCCCGGGCCAGTGGAGAGTGGGGGAAAGCTGTAGAAGGGCTGGTGGGAGCAGGATGCCACCATCAGCCGTTTCCCGTGGGCAGGACCCATCCGTGGGGTCCCGTAGGTAGGTCCCACTCTTGCTCAGGACCTACTCATGGGCAGGACCCACCGGGAGGAGCCGGCCGCCGCCGCGCTCAGCACCCTGGAGAGCAGCCGCCGCTCGGGGCGCGGGGCTCTAGGACCGCGCGGGCTCCGCAGTGCTCGGGTCCCTCCTGGGGTCCTCCCCGGTCCCCGTTTTCAGGATAAGGCTGTGAGGTGTCTGCGGCTTCCTCCCGGGGCAGCTCTTGTCCTTGGCTCCCACAGTGGCTCAGCTGGAGAGGGGAGAACCCTCTGTGACCATCCGCAGCTCTGCAGTTCTGAGGGACTTGCATTTTTGCATGGAGGAATTTGGATTTCCCGTGAAATGCCAGCAGAGAAAAAACCCCAAATAGCACAGTTCGGGGATTATTTCAATTTTAGAGAGGATTTTGGCTGTAGAGGTCAGAAGAGGCCTCTCTGCTTTCCAGCAGTGATGGTAGCATTGCTACCTCAGTGTGGCCAGCTGGGGAACTGCTCTCCTTGATATCCCCCATGTCCTTCCTTCTTGTTTTATTCTTTTTAAAGGGTTGAGGGTCTGCTTTTTAAATAATTAACTTGATCCTTGTCCTAGGTCTGAAAAATAAAAGCTTGAGCCTGTAAACTGGCTACCAAAATCCTGGCCTATGCATCCTGCAGACTGCCGGGATGCAGGCATAAAACAGGCTGTGGTCAGGGTTCTCCTCCATGGGCTCCAGTCACGTCTGGGCAGTACCTGGAAAACTCGATCAGGTTCTCATTGGGGTCTCGGAAGTAGATGGATGTTACTGGACCCATGGCACCAGTTCTGGCCACTGGCCCTTCTTCAATAACCACCCCACAGGCCTGGGAAGAGACAAAGAACAGGGGTTTAATGCTTAAGGTCACTTTCCCCAGCCTTGAAAACATGGGCTGACAATTCTGACATTCTCCAACACAGAGACCCTCAAAGTGTCGCTTGGGAGGCTCTGGTTTCAAGTCTCCCAAGGTCCCACCGTGGACACTCTGTGCCTTCTTCACCTTCAGATGATCCTGCAGCTGGTCCAGAGGTACCTCTGTGATAAGGCAGAGATCTGCAGAGCCAGGGATGGGGCACCAAGCCTTTGGTTCAAACTCCTTCCCAGCCTCGTGAAGGTTTAACTTCTGGTTGCCAAAACGTAAAGCTTTGCGAGTTCCCTGTCCCCAGAGAAAGGAATCAATGTGCAGTGAGACTTCCTGAGCTGGAAGCCTTCAGCATCCACTCACCTGTGTAGTCCTAAAAGTGCTGGGGACCTGGCTGTAGTCCTGCTAACTCTGAACATCCATCCCTGTCAGAACCTGTCAGAGTTCCACAAAGCCCAGCCACTGGCCCAGAACTGCAGCTCCTCTAGACCCAAGCCAAGCCTGTGTTCCATGTTACCTGGAAAGTCACCACCTCCATGCCCAGGACCTTGGAATAAAAGGCCACAGTGTCCTCAATGCTCTTCACAGTCAACACAAGGTGGTCCAAGCACTGGATGAAACATGAGGGTGAACTCATGCACTCTTCCTTCCAGGACATTATCTCAGGGGTGAGAACCAGCATGAAAAACCACAAAACATGAAAGAGAAATGGTCCAGGCAGCTCTGAACTGACCTGTGAATAGAGGCCAAACAGATCTGTTTTTGGGCTGTTGATGGCACAAGTACAAGCAGGCAATAAATCCTCCTCCTTGGAAGGGCCCCAGACCTCTGCTTTGCTCTGGTGGGACCTGAGCATGCCAGAGCTCCTGCCTTTGGCCAGATTCAGAGCACCTTGCTGATGTTACAGGGATGCTGATCTCTCAATGCACAAACGCCTGTGTGCACCAAGAATGGACTATGTGTGTGATCCTTCCCTCTTGGGTTTCTCCCAACCTCCAGGAAGACACAGAATCCCTTCTGGTCCCTACATAATGTAGATGGAAAACATGGACCATAAGGTAAGGGATGTGGCCTTAACCAGCGCCAAGAGCATGGGAACTTGTCACCAATGTAACTGCACTGTGGGACTGAGCCCAGGGGTAAATGGCTGAGGGGACAAACCCCTGATGATCCTGCTCTGATGAGCCTCTGATGATCCCTGGTCATTGCCCTTCTGCAGGGTCCCTGGGAAATGTCAGGCAAGGAGAGATCTCAATGCCCCACTGGCACAGGAGCAAGGTCAGCATAAAGCAACCTGCTCCAGTGGAAGGTGTCCCTCCCCTGGATGAGCTTTAAGGTCCCTTCAATCCAAAACAGTGTGGGATTCTATGAAGAGGGGCTGGTTTGGAGCCCTGGTTTCCCCCATCTCAAGCTGGGACTGCAGCACTGCCCGGACTGTGCCCAGTGACTGCACCAGTTGTGGGGGGAGCTGATAATGAAGACAGTGAAAATCACTGTTCCTCCTTGCTGCAGATGGTGTTTGGTGTTGAACACCCTCACCTCTGCCGGCCTGGGCTCTGCAAAGTCTGTTCCATCCAGGAACCCTCCTGGGTGCTCCCAAGTTGGGGGGCCCTCATGTCACAGCCTGCATCTCCCTGCTCCTGCCCAGCAAACCTTGCCAGGAC